ATAGTTGGAATCGGGATAAGAAGGGTATCTGACTGGGGTGGCACACGTCATGGCAGAGGCAGGTCCTGGCTGCTATGGTCTCCTGGCAGCAGCAGGAAGGTTCCTAGATCATCAGATTCCTTCCAAAGCACACCACTGGGCCACGTTCTCTGGACCTGGTGATTCTTAACACTTCCATACTGGCATCTGGGTCTTTCTTCCTGGCAGATGAAAAGATGGAGACCATTGTGGTGGGCCTCTCATGCTTTCTTCTGCTTCCAGGCCATTGCAGGTGTCAACAGCCAGCCTGCGTTCCTCTTTCTGACCTCGTGGCACCATCGCTGTCCACTTGTTGTATCCACGTTCACAGAGCAAGGGTCACTCGTGTTCCTATCATGGGCCATGGCCTGTGTTGGGCTCCACTGCATTCTCTTAAGTCCGTCTTGGCGGATCCCCCCTTCCTGGGCCTTGGATCTCAGCCTCAACCAAAGTCTGAGCATCTGCCTCCCTACACCTCTGGCTTCGGATGGGGAACCCAAGGACCTATGAAAAGGTGCTGAGTCTTGCACGGAAGGAGGGGATGGGGAGGGATCACCTGGCCACAGTCTCTCCGTTAGCAGAGCACTGTAGTGGGAACAAGAGGGTCTCAGGTTTGTGCCAAGCAACTTGTCACTTTGCATATCCAGTTCTGGGCTTTACAGTGGAAAAAATTTGTTTTTTTAAAAAAATGAGTAAGCTAGAAGATATCTGAGTTCTCTACTAGGTCAAATATTCTGATTCTTTCTACTTTAATCACTAATTTCTGAATAAACTATCTACTCTGTTCTATCCAGCTTTATAGGAAAACATAAAATTTCACAAAAAGAGGCAGAAGGAAAAGAATGTAGCCAGCCAGCCTCATAGTGGCGCATCTGCTGGCAGCAGCCTGAAGCTGAAAAACAAGAACTAAGGGTTATAACTTCAGAATATCCTAATAGCCTTCCTTGCTGGCCATCTGATTTCTTTTAGGCCTACACTAATCTTGTCCAGACTTAAGCTCTGTGCTAATTGTCAGGACGGCTTGAATTATGCGTGGAATTTCCACACTGGGATGGTTTGGGTGATATTCTTTGCAGATGTGTCCGTCCTTTCACATCGTCAAGAACTGTTAATAATGAACTGTTGGAATAGCAGGTCCCTTATGTCCTTGGATCTGTTCCTTCACCTGTACACAATGAGGAAGAGAGTCCCTCCCTTGTCCTGGCTCTCAGAGGTTTTTGTTTCTATGACTGCAGGTGCCTCAACCTGAGATTCCACATGCAGCTCATAGCCAGCAGCAAACCACGTACACATTTAAAAATAATCGATGCCATCTGAAGATTAAACTCAAAAGGAATTACTCAATTAGCAAAGGATGGCGATCACACAACATGTGAGTTTAATTGCAGTGCGTGCAAATGTTCACTAAATTAGATAAATATGGGTTTGTAGTCACTCTGGAGCGCAGGCTGAGTTGTAAAGTTAAGGAAAATATAAAAGTTAATTATAAAACAGGAGTAGTACACATAGAGTGCATGCATGGGGCTGGTTAGGATTATTAACCAAGTAATCATCTCATGTCAAAGGTGGGATGTTACAGGAGTCCCAGGCCCACGGTCTATTACACAATGAAGTTACTGAGTTTTGCAGGACATGAAAAACATACTTCATTTTTACATAGCACCCGTCATCTGGGCAACAGCAGCCGAGGAAGCCCTGGAAAGCTGGCTGGACAGTCTGCCCGGTGCCTGTTGCTGAAGTACATGTCTAGTGCACCTCCATTCTCTCCTTGTTATCCAAGTACAAAACTTTATGGTCCTTGCCTCCTTGTCTTTATTCTTGTCCTATACATCGAGTTGGTTACTGAATCATGCCCATTTGTCCCAAAGTCCCAAATTACCCAATGCACACTGCTAAATCTAGAAGTCCACACAGGTAGCTCTTATACAGCAACATGCCTGTTATTGGCCAGGACCTTCTACACAGAGGTAAAAGAGTCCTGGAAAGACAGCTTCCAGGGGAAGATTCTAGAGCCAGGCTGTTTGGATGTGATGCCTGGGTCCATCATTAATTCCTTGACAAATTGGCTCAACTAGCTGTGTTCTGGGCTCATCTCTGAAACCTACTTTTCAGGGTTGCTGCAAGGCTGACAGGAATGATTTTAAGACACACAGAATACCACCTGGCATTTAGTAAACACTCTACAAGTGGCTTGTTTCTTGCTATTTGGTTTTCTCTGTGCATTAGTTCAAACATTCCAAAGAGTAAACATCCATTCTATGTTCGGTGCACTGCACTGACACCCATAGCAGAGGACACACACATGCGCGCGCGCGCACACACACACACACACGCTATCTTCTTCCACTGGGATATGGGAGAACATGTTCCCTCAAAAATAATTACAGTGAAGCAACCTGCGAGATGTACTGACTACAGATTACCAAATCCTTGAGGAGGGATCATTCTTGAAAGCCACTGGAGAAAACTTCACTGAGACTGGGCCATGATGGGGGATGAGATTTTTTAAAGGGGTGGGGAAGTAGAAGATGCTGGATAAGAAAGACGTAGCGGTCAGAAGGTCCAGAGCAACCTTCACTTATTGCAGGGAGTGATGGGCCAGCCTGGATAGAAACTTTGAGGACAACCGATGCGGAGGTTCTTAAGGTCAAGCCCTGAGTTCTGACTTTATCCTGTGAGCCATACAGTCCCTGGGATGTTTTAAAGAATACACTGTAGGACACAGTAGCATTAAAAGGCTGCAGATCTAGCAGAGTCGAACAGATAGGAACGGGAAAACCCACTGACAAACGTCCAAACATGTGGCGACGAGGGTAAGGGTGAAGAGGCAGCATATGGGGACACTGGGACACATGGACAAGACTCCGTGACCAAGTCAATGCCCTGACTAAGAATAACGATGAGGAGAAGATGACTGTGAGGCTTTGGACTCGGGCCACGGGAAGAAAAGGTGTTCTAGTCAGCCAGAGATCCCGATTCCTAGTTACCTAGCACGTGACCCAACCCGCATCTCTGCAGAGGGGAAGGCAGCTCAGGAGTTAAGCACACAGGCCAGAGCATCAGACAGCTCTGTGTCCCCTGCTGACTGCCATACCCTCAGCAAGCTGTAACCTCCCAACACTTCTAAGTTCTGCCTTTGCAAAATGGGGATAAGGACATCCTACAGTGAACCCTTGACTTATGAACTCAATTCATTCCCGAGGGCTGTTTGTAACTCAAGTTGGTCAGCTGAAGGCTCAGGCTCCTTACACAGCCTTCAGTCTCTCTCCTGTATCCAGGCAGATCTCAGTGTCCTTAGAGAGACACTGGCCCAGGATTTCTCAATTAACCTCACACTGGAAAGATGTTGTCATGTTCCTTCCAGAACTCTTTAAGGGTTAAGTCTGTATCTGAGACCATCTGGAAGTACAAGCAGCCAGCATTCAGGTCATAACTCAAGACTTTGTTTGTAAGTTAAAATTAAAATTCCAGTCGTAAGCCAAGTTGTTCCTATGTCAGGCCAGTTGTAACTTGAGGGTCCACCACATTTCTCAGGATGTTTTGCAGATCAATGAGATAGCCCAGTGGTGATGTCAAGTACCTGCAGTGTCTGCTACGTAGGGAGCTCTCAAGAAATACTGAAAAAAGACAATCAGTGACCTAAAATGTAGAATACTAAGATTAAAAAAAAAAAATTGCATTGAAATTCTAGTGGACGAGGTCTGTCCATGTTGTGATGACTCAGAGCCAAGTCCTGGATGTCACAGCACTGCCAGCAGACTGTCACTATGCTAAAGTCTCACCGAAGTGGTTGCTGAGGTTAGAATAAAAGAAAGCTGATCACTGTACCAATCTAGAACCATCGGGCAGGAGAGTGGCGAGCAACCAGCACAGCTGGATTCATACTGAGAGTCTCGGTAAGTTTCTCCCAGGCTTTCCTCAAGGGCCCATCATTTTCCCTCCCCAGTCTCTTCAGCAAAGCTGGCTTCTGCATGCCTTTCTGAGCTTCTGTCATAAAGGTCACGGTGATGCTCTCAGGGCTTCTGACCAGTCAGCTGGTTTGTGTGGACTTCAAAGGCCTATTGACAGCTGCACAGCGCTGGGCCAGGGGCCAGGCGCCAGGGGGCAGGCCTGTCTGAAATGCTGGAGCCGCACCTTGAGAGAGTAGCAGAGCCTACCCAGCGGGGACCAATGCATCACCCCGTTCCTACACCAAGCCCTGCTGTGTAGTCAACAAAAATTCAACACAGGAGAGCAAACTAGTCTCACCAAATGGACCACTGCACGTTGGAAATTCGACTTGAGTCTTGGCCGGATCCATTTTCTGTCACCTCAGGGCTCTGCTCACAGCTGATCTCTCATTGCAAGCATTTGCCCTTCAGCCAAACTGCCGTTTTATTTTCAAAAATACATATCCTGAGCCCTCTGGGACAGTTCTTTTTAAAGGTCTAGTGTGCAATAGGGGACTGAGCCCAGTTCATTGGACTCAAAGCCTCTGCTTTTCCCAGTTTCCAAGGGGAGATCAGTATCGACATGGAACTACAGAAGGTCCGGAGAGGTAAGGAATCAGCCTGCTGTCCTCATGCCACAGTGGTGATGGCTCCTACTGGGGAAACCAAGAAGCTAGCAAGAGACTTGATCATCTTAGTAAGACTATTTCTTTATCACCAAATAGCAATCAATACTTTCTAACAAATTTTTTTCAACACTGAAGATGAAACCAGGGGATTTGCACTGTGTGCCTTTTGTTTGTTTGTTTGTTTGTTTGAGGTGGGGTCTTGTTAAGTTGCCCCAGGCTGGGCTCAAATTTGCAATCCTCCTGCCTCAGTCTCTCAGAATGCTGGGATTACAGCCGTGTACCTCCATACATGGCTTTAAATAAGCTTTTTATAAATGTTGTCTTGGTTGGTTCCACATCATCGATGAAGCCTTTTTTTGTCACAGTTATTACCAGCCCCTGTCACAAAGGAGGAAATGGAGGCTCAGAGAGGTAAGTGGCTTACCCAAAGTTGCAGGGCTAGCTGATGCCAGAGAAAGGGCCAGAGCTGGAGTCTTTGGGTTTGAAGCTAGTTTGGCAAGAATTAACTGGATCCAATTCTACAGCCAGGCCTGAAATTAGAGGAATTGAGATTATCTATGTGCTAGGAGAAAAGAGGACGGCAAACACAGAAGAAGTAATATTTACTAAAAGAGCAAATAAACTAGACAAGAAACCTCAGCTTATGAGGCACTTACTAATTCTAGTAAAAGATAAGAACATGTTATCTTAATGCATTTTTCTTCTTCAATATATCCTTCCCAAACATGTCTATACATGGAACCAAATATATAGAAAGAGAATACTTGCTGGAGAGGATGGTGGGAAGTCTGGGAAGGGGGTGGAGGACAGCAGATTCAGCTGGTCAGAGAAACAATTTCCTGGCAAAAGATTCTTAGGCACCATCCGGGTCCTGGGAATCACCCCAGAGTGATTAGAACAAAAATAAAAGCAAACACAGATATGCATGTGTCTGGATTAAAATTATATGTAAAATATGTAATAATAATAAATGTTATTGAGTACTTACCATGTGCTACTGATAAACACCATGTGAAGGATTTTTCATGCATTAACTCACTGAATCCACATGAGAATCCTTCAAGACTGTATTTTAATTCCCCTTTTATTGAGAAGGCACGGGATGCGGAGAAGTTTGGGAAAGAGGTTGACCGTTGAAGTAATTTGCCTGAGGCTGCCCAGCTCTGAGGATGAGATGGGTTTTCAACCAAGCAAGGTCTGTTTCACATCAAAGTCCTAACTTCTATCCACATCTTCTCTTGTCTCAGGGAGCAATGACCAACTAGAAGATGCTGCTGTTTTCCAGACCCTGAGTTTCTCCAAGAGTATCCATCTATGATGTGACACAGAGAGAAAATTGTTGTCACAGTCATGCTACCGTCCAAAATTTCGGTTTACCAATATCTTGACTGATGACAAATAATGTCATTTATGTCCTACCAATTAACATTAAAACAACTGTACATTTTTATTTCAAAGCTCAGCACTGCTTAAAAACACATGTAGTACTATCCATTTTGTAGGCAAATTCAAATGTAGTTCATTAATAACTATAATCACAAGTGGATTGATTAACTGCAAGCAACTTCCACATTAATAAATGGTGTGAGATTTTACTGGACATTTTCAATTAAGGTGGAGAGCACAGCTATCTACTTCTTTCAGAATATCTTCAGGTTTTTGTCAACAAAATTAATTTACATGGGTCCTGTTCCACCTCAGTTCTGTATGACAAAGCAGTGCAGTAAGAAATAAAGCTCTACCACAGTGTGTCTGGGTATTCTGGGGCAGTTTAAATCCAATCAGATCTGCAAAAGCCATGACTTTAAGGAAGCATTCACATGTGCCAGGGAATGGGGAAAAACTCATTCAGGTTGCAGGGAGAATAACACTGTAAGAGTGCTTGGTGACTGCCTACAACCTTCTAAGGGAAGGGATGCCCCAGCCTAGCAGCTGATCAAGAGTGTGCTCTACCTGCCCAGTGCCATCTCCACAACCACTGAGAGCCTGCTGAGGCTTAACCAACCGCTTCAATGCCGATCCCTCCTGGAGAAACAGATGCCGCCAGTGACTCCAAATCAGCAATCTTGAAGGACTCAGAGAAGCAACTGTCCAAATGAGGTCCGCATCTCTGGAAAAGAAGAGGAGAGCAAAAGAGAGGCAGAAGATCCTGAGATAAGGGAACCGCTGGCTTTGTTGCTGGGATCCCAAGGGCAGCCCTCGAGTCCTGCAGTCCATAGCAGTATGGTCTCTAGGCTGACAGCAAGTAACACATATATGGGCTGAAAGGAGAGAACATAACTTAGACTCCTAGGGATGAAAAATACAGAAACTTTTAAAAGAGATGTAGAACATAGGAAAAAATGCATACTTGCTGAATCAAGAAGTAGCAGAGAAGTCTCTACTTAGAAAAAAATAATACCAGCTAAGGCTCTGTGTGGGACACTGTTCTACTCCTTGCCTATAAACTCAGGGCAAGGACTTCTCTTTCACTGTACACACCCAGAACTTAATTCAGGGCTTTGGAGCACAGTTGGTATTCAGTATAGTATTTTTCAGTGAGTAAATAAATAAAACAGACACATCTAGCTAAAATTAAACATGTACCGTTTTAAGTGGGGTAGTAGTTCTACGCTCCTTACTCAAATAGTGTGAAGCACCAAGGATGTGTCAGGCATTGAACTTGCACTGAAGAAAGATAAAACAACAGGGTACCCTTGAGCTTGGCGGTATAACATCTACAGCAGAACTTTACTCAACCAACTTTACTCAAGCCCCTGCTCTGGGTCAGGCACCCGACTGGGCACTGGAAGACCAAGAGATGAAGAAGTCCCTCTCCCTCCCTCCGGGAGCTCTGAGTGGCATAGGTAGGAGGTGTCTATACAAGAAGTGCATCTTCAGGGTTAGGATCAGAAACAGGATGTAAGGAATTTGTCTCAAGCGAACCAGCTCACTTTGTGATGCCAAGCTTTAAGCAAAGAACAGCAACTGCCAAGAAGGGAGAGTATATAGGATTCCTGGACTGAGAGGATTCTTTTTATATAACACATTTTCACCCGTGCTCCAAGCAATCTGTACACATTCTTCTTGAATCCCCTAAAACCTGGAAAAGTGTGTTCTTCCAACCTGCTGAAAAGCATTAATGACCCTCAGCTTTATAACTACCTGCAGGTTGTATGTGCAGTAATAGAGTGAAGACAGAACTCAGACCAGTTCTGTAAACGTCCTCAGCATTTTGTGTTCTTATTCCCAAATTTTAGGCATGATAATTGCTCAATAAATGGCAACAACTTCCTCTGCTGCCGCTGAGCCTGTGGCTACAGATATCTATCTATCCTGGGCTCATCAGGACTTTTCCAGGGAAGTACAGGATGGTTTGGGGATTTCATGTGCACCCGGACAAGCTCTGACCAAACCCAGCCCCTGGGTCAGCATAACCAGCTCTGAGCTCTCCCAATATGGGTTTCTTTCTTGTGTTCATCCTCTTTAAACCCTGCCCAGACTGGATCCCACAATATTCATCTGTAAGCAAAGTAACCAACTTGCTGGGGCGGGGGGGGGGGCTTCTGATCTGGTTGCCAGCAGCGGCAATCCATCCCAGCACGTGGGGATTTGTGGAATTTAAAGCCCTAGACAGCTTTTTTGTGATGGCTGTGCCAACATGTACTACAAAAAAAGCACAACCTCAAAATGCCCCACTGGCTCAGCAAGTAAAGCTGGTCCCCCTGTAGCTGAGCAGGTCTGCCTTAGTCCCTAAGCAAAAGAATAAGTCCCTTATCCCTCCCTAAGCACAGGGGCAGATCTCGCCTGCTCTTTTCATAACTGTATGACTCTTTGGTGACGAAGCAAACGGACGTGATTCAGCAATCCCAAACGTTACCTTCCAATCAAGGCACCTCACATGACGCCCATCTTTCCCTTTTATCTTTTATTTCTTTCCCCATAATCCTTTATTTAGTTTGTTTGTGTGTGGGTTTTTTTGGTACCAGGGATCCAGGGTATAATCCTTTATTTAGTATTGAAGGTGTTACACAACATAGCCCATAAGTTACGCATCGAGTGGACAAACTGGCCCTCCCTCAGCGAGGTGCAGATGACACAACACGGTGAACACACCCAGAAGCAAATGCACGAATATCCCCTTGGATTATGTAATTAATAACTAATAAAGAAAACAATTCCAAACGTGTCCCCTGAATCTTCCCTCTTGCTTGTGCAGAAAACATAAGTTTTCAGTATCTTATATCTTTCCTTTACATTCAAAGTCAATTTCAAATTGACACACTATATAGTTTTGAATAGAATTGCTTCAGCTTGCTTTCCTTTTCAAACCACCCTTACAGGAAAGGGTCATTCATACCTCATGACTACATCACTTCACTCTTAGTAGGACTGCTCTTCATCGTGTTCAGTGAGTTTGGTGATAAGTGCACAGGCTTCAGTAGGTGTGACATCTGCCGCTAAGCAAGAATAACACACCTCACTTTTGCTATTCTTTGTTTGGGGGAGTGGTGAACACAATTAGGAGCTGACCTGAGCTGAAATGAACGCTGCTCTCACAAGGAACTTTCAGAGGCAATGGCATGGCACATAAGAATGGGGAGAGGGGCCAGGATTTAGCTCAGTGGTTTCGCCATCTGCTGCTGCGCAAGCTCAAGGACCGGAGTTCAATCCCCAGTACCAAAAAAAAGAAAGAATGGGGAGCTGCGAGCCTTGGATTCTAATTCTGGCTCTGTAGGTAAGCTGGCTACCACTTAAACCCTTTGTGCCTCTGTTTTCATCCCTATAAAATGGTGTACAACTACTCCACGAAGCAAGCGCAGACTGAAAGCTGTGGGGAGTTAAATAGGTTTGACTTCAAGCCCCAGCCTTGCCCCTCACCATGAGACCTTGGATTTATTACCTTACAATGCCCTGCTTTGCTTTCAGAGTCCTCACCTGGGTTTTAACACCTGTGCTGAGTATGAAATGAGATCCGTGAGGGTCGCCACAGGTGGCTGCTCCCCGCTTATTTGCCTTACTGGTACTTGACACTTGGAGCTTGCAGAGCACATGGCCCTGTCTCTGAACGCAGGAGCACCAGACTGGCTGCTTTTGAAAAGCCTCTTTAAGGGGTGCTTTTGGTCCACTGAACTCCCATGATGTCAAAACTCGGGGTAGGTTGAACAGGGCTAACAGCAGCTAAAGCAAAAGTACCAACAGTCCTCCTATTGTTGATGTGTTTGCATTCCCACCTTGCTCGGGAGAAGGAATAACTGGGATCAGCAAGAGCCAGCTCTCAGTGCTATTTGCAGGGAAACTCTGGCCTTTATTTTAAATCTGAGAGCTACAGGTGGCCGGCCCCTTCTGCAAGGCGCTGCAAAAGGTCAGCTTTCAAGTCTACACTATTCTTGAGTCTTTGCTGAAGCTGAGTACCAGGGCCTTGGTGGCCACTAGAAGAGGAGGAGGAAAGGTCGGTGCTATCCGTTCGCTGGGGCGGCCACCCTTCCCACCCTGAGGTCACCTCCAGCGGGAAGATGAGCCATCGCTCACCATCTGGGTACCCGCAGCACCACCATCCTGGCCTCGGGATTTCAGCTACCCCACCCTCCAGGAAAATTAAAAAAAAAAAAAAATCGTGAGAAGCGAGTCAGAGATGATTCACTGATACAGAAATAAGCGATGGGACTTGGACTGCGTGGCCCCGGGCCTGGCCGTATGGAGTTTAAAGACGAGACTGCAGAAAGGAGGAAGAACCCTAACCAAAAAGTCGGTGGGCGCCCGGATCTCGCTGCGGTTGGGCAACACGTGTGGTCCAGCAACCCCAGCACCAGTCCCCAGAAAAGGGAAACTTTTAAGGCGGAGAACAGCGGAGCAAGCAAGGCAACGCGGTCGCAAACAATCTAGGCGCTGCCAAGGTAGCGCGGGCGGCCCCGGGCCTCGGTTTCCCATTCTGCAAACAGGAGTTAACGTCTTTTATCCCTGAGGTTACTCTCGAACTCCTCAAGGCTACCGCCGCCTGAGGCTCGGAGACCACAGAGGGGAGAAGACGACCGGGAAAAGAAGAAGCGGGTGAGAGAGCCGGAGACCGAAGACGCGGGACGCGGGACGCCGGGGACAGGCTTGGCGGGTTTCCGCTTCTTTCCTCCTCTTGGCACACCTGAAGCCTCACGGCGGGGCCGAGGCCCCGAGCGCCTCGAGTCTGGCCCCCCACGCTTCGCAAGCTTTTCCCGCCCCGCAGTTTGCACTTTCTGGAAGCCGCGGGGCCGACGCTGGCAGCACAATAACTGGTGCCCAGGGGGTGGCGGGGGGAACGGGCCGGATGAGGTGCGGAGGTTAGGTAGGATCGCCCCAACCTGGGCATCGCAGGGTGCCCGCGTTCCGGCCGAGGACCTTAGGCTGGTCGATTCTTATTTCCCAACTTTGAGCATATGGGCGAGGGGTGTATCCAAAAAAAAAAAAAAGGAAAAAAAGTTGCAGAACTTTTTCCCCAACTCTGCCTTGGGGCGGGACCAAAGGGCGGTGCCTGCGTCCTGATTCGCCGGCGGCCGGCGCGGAGAGGCGCGGATTGGCTCGCGGGCTAGGCCGAAGACGGGGTGGGGGAGGGGAGCGGCCCTCCCCGCCCGCGGGATCGGCTCGCGCCGGGAGCGGGTTAATTTCAAATCGGGGGCTTGACTGCTCCAGGACGGCCACGCTCCCCTGCCCGCCAGTGGGCCCGCCAGTCCCGGGCCCGGTGTTTCCCTCCGGCACCCACCTTGGCGCGGCGGAAAGGCTGACTGACCGCCCGACACGCGGGCTCCCGGGCCTGGGCGCGAAACGGGGTGCCAAGGGTCCCCACTCGGCCCCCGGCGACTCCAACCGTGAGGTGGACTGACAGGTCAGCGGGAAGCAGAGGGACGCGGCACGGGGCCTGCGAGCCCCGGGAGCGGGCTGGGGCGGGCGGGCGGCGGCCGTTTCCCGCCGCCCGCTCCGCCGGGGCCGTGGAGGGAGGAGCTCAGCTCCTGCGCGGAGGGGCGGGGGAGCGAGGGGGAGGGGCGGGGATGCCGGGGTTCCGGGCGCGGGTTTGCCCGCGCTCAGGCCCCGCGCTGCTCCAAGGGGCGGCGCCGGCCTAGGTCCGGCTTTCCGCGCCAAATTTTTAAATCGAAGGCGGAAGGACCGGCCCCGCCCCTAGTGCCGTCAGCCAATCGTAGGCCTGCAGCGGGCTCTCTGATTGGACGGGAATCGTTGCCCTGGAAACCGAGAAGATGCTGTCCACGAACAGTCGGGCTGGCGGCAGGCGGCAGGCGGCAGGCGGCAGGCGGCGGGCGGGGGAGGTGCGGTCGCCCAGGAGGAGGGGAAGTGTTCCGGGCGCGGAGCGGGTGGCGGCAAGGGACCCTACCTGGTTGCCTCACCGAGCAAAAGCAGCCTTCTGTGGGGGACTGGACCCTCGTGTCGTGAACCTGCCACCTGAGTACGAGTACTTGGCGCTCTGCAGCTTTAATGAAGCCTTTTAAAAAGGAAAAAGATAATCAGAAGGCGCTCTTTAAATGCCTCGCAATACGCCTAGAGCTTTGGGGCTGAATTCGGAAGTTTCATATCAAGCAATTTCCCGAGCCTTTACTGCTGCGCCTGTGCACGTGTGTGTAAGGGGAGAAATTCAGACATCTCGATGCAGATTCGTATCCAGATGCCTGGGGTCGCGCGTGCTCTGCCGGAACTGGGCTCTCGCTCAGTCCGGAGCCCTGCTGGGTGGACAGGTGGGTGCTTTCTACAGTGTGTCTGGTGGGGTCTGGAAAACAGCCACCTTCTCTAAAGATGAGAGAGGGCTGTCAGTGGAGATTCTGTGGCTTACTTGAAGTCTGTGAAGGCAGATGGGTTTTATGAAGGAATATACTTGTGTTTTCTGGAGTTCTCTGCCCAGTGAGCCCTACCTCTGATGGAACCAAAAATACTAATTCGTCACTTTTCGTTAGTCTTTGTTTCTGTAGCTCTTGTGCCTGAATTTTCAGATCTCCTGATTCTGACATTTCCCTTCCGTTTCCTTTTTTTCTTTAAGGATATTTTAAAAATTTAACAGAATTGATTGGACTACTTGAACCATTGGGATTTGGGAAGGAACTCCAGATTTTTCATTTTTAAAGAAACACTAAATGTGTGAGAAATTGACAGAATGGAGAACGAAAAGGTACTTTTAACTTTGATATCTACCGTGTAGTGTAAAGTGTACTATCACCCTGATTTAACTTCTTAATTTTCCATTCTCTAGTGTCATTAATATCATCTCTTTTTGGTTAGTGTTCGTAAAAACCTCGAAGGAAGGGAAATTTAATTTTTGAAGAGATGTGGTGGAAGTCTCAAAGAGAGAAACAGAAAAACATTTTTAAGAATAATAAAATGTATTAGTTACATTAAAATACTTAGGAAGATTCTTGAACAGTTGGTATTTGAAAGGGAATTTGTTTTTGTTTTTGTTTTTGTTTTGGTACCAGGGATCAAACTCAGGTCCTTGCACTTGCGCAGCAGGCGGGGAAACCACTGAGCTAAATCCCCGGCCCCATGAAAGGGCATTTGATAAGATTCAATATTAGACTTTTAAAAGATAATTTTCTCCCAGCTTCTTTAACTATCAGGGCTCAAAATGCTGTTTAGGGGGTATTTTTGTAAAATTACAGAGGAATTGTTAATAGGGGTGGCTTGGTTGGTATTGATATTAAAAACACAAGTGAACTTTTAGGAAAATTTTCTTAAAGGTATAGATGTTAAAGAAGAGCATCACTATTACTGCAGACAGTGTGAGGTGAAGAATAGCAGTCTTTAGGGAAAAAGCCCATCCTCGGGCCCACATGTTCTGGCTGTACAAGCTGGCAAGCAGCCTCATAGGATCCATCTAACTTCCCTGTAAGATCACCAGACCTGGACTGAGAAGGTTCCAGTCCTTTGTGACCACCCTCTGCCTGGTGTCCTCTTCTGCTAAATAGGAATACAAGATTCAATGAAAATACACACAGGAAAACACTGCCAAACCCTTTGGTGTCGAATATAAAACAATACCATTAATCCACGTTCCTAAAGTTATTGAGGAACTAAGAGCTCTCTCTGTTCTTTCACTTACTGCCATTCCGAGTATTTTATTTAAAAAGGTACTGATAGGAGTGTGTAAAGTCCCTGGTGTCTGAAAATGGAAAGGACAGAGTCTTTATTATTCTTACTTATGAAATGCTGTGAATTTACCCTCTTGTCTCAGCAGCAGCCCTCCTTCTCCTAGGAACTAGCTTTCTTACCTTGGGTAGCTCATTTTACTTCCCTTGACCCATTTTCTCCATCTATAAAGTAAGGAGGTGTACATTCAAAGAGCAGATCTTCCTGGTCAGAAGTTGTTCTCTTAGGCACTCTAAATTTTCCTGATAAGTCTGCTCAGCTCTCGTGCATGGTTGGTGTCTTATTGAGCATCATCGACGACATACAGCCATTATACTAAATGGATAATGGTTTCTACCCTGGAGGCCTTTGGTTAGTACTGTCTAGTGTAAAAGTTGCTTCTAAAATTTGAGACCACTTAAATTTATCAGTCTTGTTAGGAGAAGATGAGTGAGAGTTATTGGGGACTCCAAATTATCTACAACTCTTCTCTAAATCTACAATTATTTCAAAATAGAGTTAAAAATTATATTTAAAAGTTTTTTTAAAAAATTCTTGGAAGATGAAAACAATTTAGGTCTATGCTTTTTGCAAAATTAAAAGTGGGAAATTTAACTATTAGAATGAACAGTAAGTGTCAAGTGATCATTGGAATGCCCTTATCACCTTAAATCAAATTTATAGTCTTCATGTGGCATTTTCTCCTTAGCAATAATCTATGCCTTGTACAACTTTTAGATGTTGAAGTTGTCTGATAAGTCCTGTCTTACGATAAATTTTTAACTACTTTTGAACCAGGAAAATCTTTTTATTGAGCCACACAAAAGGGGACTGATGAAGTCACCTCTGAAGGAGTCCACCAAGGAGAATGTAGCACCGGCTGACCTGTCCTCGCCTAACCTGGGCCCTTTGACCACGCCCACCAAGCCCAAGGAAGCCTCCCAGGGAGAACCGTGGACACCGACAGCCAACCTGAAAATGCTTATCAGTGCAGTGAGCCCGGAGATCCGAAGCAGAGATCAGAAAAGAGGGCTGTTTGACCTCCAAAGGGGATTACCTGAGGCTAAAGACTGTTTACATGTAGGTTTTCATGGGCAGAGCCTGGGGATTCCTGGGGGATTTGAATCTGGCAGAGAAGTGCCCACGGTAGGAAGCCTCCCCACTCTGGGACTGTTACTAACCTCCTTCAGAGTACCAGAGAGATTTGGACCCGATGAGATATTGCACTGGGAATTGTGAACATTTGAGTAATTTTCATTTCAGCCTTCTCTTGCAGATTGCCAAAAGCTCATTAGTACTGCCCCCCCCCTGCACACACACAAACACACACGCCCACCCTTTTTTCTCCTACCCTAAACTTTGCAGCTGTCCAAGTTAAACATGTGTGTAAGTAGTGTTAGTCATCAAGCACAGATGCCCCTAGTAAATCTGTCAACCTTTTCCTTCATAGGAACACTTATCTGGAGACGAATATGAGAAGTCTCAACCAAGTCGAAAAGAGAAAAGTTTAGGATTGTTGTGTCATAAGTTCTTAGCTCGATATCCTAAGTATCCCAACCCTGCTGTGAATAATGACATCTGTCTTGACGAAGTTGCAGAAGAGCTCAGTAAGTATCCAGAGAGTTTGCTGAAATGGTTAATGATTAAAGTGGTTTTGTGGTTTTAACTCCTTCACAGCCAGTGTAACAGACACAGATAAGGCCTCTTGGAAATTAGTCTCTAAAGTCTGCTTAAGAGTAAAGGTGAATAATCTCTAACTTCAGTGAATCTTAGAGGCAAAATAAACCAGAGTGGAGGTTGCTTCTGAGTATAGGATCTCTAAAGCTTTCTTGGCAGGCAACAGTGTTTTATGGTTTGTTACCTTAGCAGCTACAACTCTGAACTTTCACCTTGGCCTGTCCCTGAGAAGCCCATGCATATCTTCATAGCTAAACTGAGGCCAGCTTCTGCGAGTGGGCCCAGGGCTTGTGTGTTCCCTGCCACTCAGCCACCATAGTCTGAGGAGTGAGGGATTTTTGGAATGTTTTGTGGTTGGCAAAAGTTACGTTCCACCCTCTTTTGTTCCCTTCCATAGAGTTACAGCTAAAAAAGGGTCTATGGTAAACTTGGGAGTATCTCTGGAGTTAAATACATATCTTAATCTAAAACTCCAAGAGTCAGGTTGTGCGAGATAGTGCATTTAGTGTCTAGATATCACCCATGGAGAAAAGCTTTGCTTTTCTAATGCATGTTTATAAATATCAGCTTGATTTCACATTTTAAGAATATACCACTTCGATTCATCTCCTCTTCGCATACACAGTAAGATGTACTCTTTAATCCAGCAGCTGTCTACTGATCCTGAGTGCCAGGCAGTGTTCCAGGAGCTCAGGATACAGCAATGCAACAAGAAGGGCAAAACCCCTTCCCCCTACATGCGAAGGAGCCAGTAGGTACCAAATGAAGGACATTTAGTCATGACAGTGATTGTCAGAAGGTAATAACATGCACAGAAAAAAGAGGAGGGTAGAAGGATCAGGAATGCTGACGCTGTAGAATTTTAAATTAAGTGGTCAAGTCAGGCCTTACTGAGTTGAAATATGAGCCCAGACTTGACAGAAAAGCAAGACGGGGCTATGAGAACATCAGGAAGAAGGACTTCTGGGAAGGAGAAAGCCCCGAGGGAGGCTTTCAGGCAGGGTCTTATCAGGCAGGTCTCAGGAACAGCGAGCGGCCACTAGGGGGAACCCTTCTTGAAGGAGTGTTTTGTTAAGCACTTTTCCAGGAAGGCAAGATTTCATCAAATACTTGAATTTGAATC